AAGTAGGTGAAAGGCCAGCTTCAGTGTCCCGTGGTATCAGGTTAGCATCCTTAACTAGCCCTACGTACCCAAGTAAACTCCACAGTATATAGGTTAAACTTATGCCAGCTCTTTTGTCCTTCCTGTCATTTGACACTCACCATCTTCAGCACAATACAAATAATTGATGCATGAAACCACATAGCACCTCAAAAGAAAAAAAAACAGCAAAATAAGAACTAAAAATATCTAGCTAAGACAAAAAAAAGGCTGAAAAAATGTTTTTCTTTAAGCCAGAAAAGGAGAAAGCAATTTTTTTTTTTTCTAGTTTTCACCAAGTGAAAGGTGCCATAAAATAGAAATAATGTGCTTGGTTCGAGATGCAGAAAGGCCGGTAGGATGCTCGGAGACAGAGAGTTGGAGCAGAGAGGCAGAGGTTATTTGGCCTTGCAGGAGCTGACTAGAAAGATGAGACCTGTTGCACTGTTATTGTTGGACTAAATTATAAGGCAGCAGCTAAAAAAATTAGGAAGGAGTAAGGCTTCATTCTTGTTTGGTTCATACCACTGGAGCTATATATACCAGGCATACCAAAAACCTTTAAAAACACCCAAAAGGCATTGTAGCACAACCATAAAGAACTGATTTTATGCCTCTTCTTCTCAAATGACATAAAGAATGTTCTTTTATTTTTTTTTTCCAAAAAGGGTTTCTGCATGTATAAGCACATCATTTTCCTGTGTTGCAAATATCCTGATTTTCAGCATACAGCTCAGAAGTGGAAATTCATGTTGCAATGTGTACTACTGTAGGAGAGAAGTTACCAATATTTCTCATGTTATGTATATTTAATCCCAATCTTGTTTTATCTTCTTCCGGTTACCAAAATCCTAGGAAGCCTATTTATCTTGGGTTTAGGCTGCCCTCCTTATTTTGATCAGGCTTAATTTTTAGCTAGTAATTTTGCTGAACTTTTGAAGTGAATTATTGAAGGTTATGGGTTATTGTTTGCTCGTTACTTTAGTTATGCCAATGAGAGAGAAAAGTACCCAAGCTCTTATTCTCTTGAGTCGTTTACTTGAGTGCTTCCAAGAAAGAACTAGCTTGTATTGTTGACAGTCTCCTTTATTAAGGTGCCTGCATGTTGCCTGATGCTGCTCTACACACACCCACGCACTGGTTGTCCTTAGAGCTTTTAAAGAATTGATTCCCCCCCCTGCCATGAAATTGCTAGCGTTCTGCCATTTTGCTTTTTTAAAACTACAGTTCTTTATAGCCAGAAGCTTTAAAACATGTGGCTGTAAGCAGACATCTCTGTCTACCTTAGATTTAAAGCTACCGAGCTTGCCTTATGGCTGGAGAAGATACTGAGCTCTGCTTCTCAGCAAGTACATTAACTGCAAGGTTCGGTTAAGCAAATGAGACTGTAATATTTAGCCCTCCTCCCCATTCGTACAGGCCCTGAAGTGGTGAATAGTAGACTTTGTAAGAAAATGACTCATTGGAAATAATTAATGAGAAAATTTTCAGTTTAATGTTCTCCTGTGTGTAGAAAGTCAACATACAAATTTGAACGTTTCCCTTGCTTTTGAAAGAAAATGCTAGGATTATTTGCATTCTAACAGGAAGAGAGCAAAATGCTTGGTACATTCAAACAGCAACTGCTGACAGCACTATTTTCACCCCAAAAAGCAAGTCTTTATTGTGCTCTTGTTAGGTGGTGATATACCATTTTGATCTGTACGAACAAAGTGATTCCCTTACTGGTTGCTGTGAAGTTTTAAGCTGCTTGGTGTGATGAGTCAAGTTGAGGATGCCTGACCTAAATGTTCCTATAAAGTCCCATGATTACATTTTGTTCCTGGCTCGCATGTGGCATTCAGTTCTATTCTTAGTTGAGCTATTTTGATTTTTACCCTTTCTAAAAGAACTTAATTTGTGCATTTGTTTAAAATTTCCGTTACAGTAGTGAGAAGATTTTAAGAAGTAGTAGTAAAATCGATAGTTAAGGAATATTAGTAATATGGAGTTGTTGCAGTGCTAGAAAACTATGGTAATGTTGTGTTGCTTTTGCTGCTCTCATCTCCTCGATAAGATATTTATGCTGATTAGTGTTTCTTTGCTCTTAGTTGTGTGTTTGATGTTGATCCTCGTATAGGTGATGTGTTTGAGAGAATATTGGTTGATAAGTATCACTTAAGGTTTTTTTTAATTGGGAGTAAAGAACAATAATTTTAGCAATTTTAGATGTGCTTTTTTCATTATTTTTTTTATTAACTTTCCAAAAAGTTTAAATTTGATGAAGGTACAGTTTCTAAAAGATGGGTTTGCACACAGCTTTGCCTACTAGAAATGTCTCCTGACTCGATCTTCTTCGAACATGTGTAAGCGTTTTGGCTCTTCGTGTCTGCCGAATGCGTTTGCCAGTGAGCATGGGTTCTTTCTGCAGCTCACTGCATCAAAAAAAAAAATAGTGCTTTTTCTGTGCTGTCAAAGGAGGGCACTACAGCGAAATTAGGCCATTAGGGATGGTTATTTTTCTGCTGCATGGTAACTGTTAGAAGCCAGAAATTTGTTAGTTCATCTGGAGAATGGACAAAGTGGGACTGAGGAAATGAGAATGTAGCTGTGATAATGAGTTGGATGTGAAGAAAAGCAGTAGTGGTACAGATTGGAGGAAGTGTAGTACAGCTGAAGAGCCTGTGGTTGGCGGAGAGGCAGAAATGTGTATGTTGATGGACATACCCTTAGAGCAGTTATATGCTTTTAATTACTGGGGGGGGAACCCCAACAACACAGAAACAACAAAAAAAAACCCCAACAAAACCCAACATGCATATGCCAGTGTGCCTCTGAAGCATACATGTGGTCTAGAGATGCCACCAGTATCAGATGCCTTCAAAAGGCTCTACTGACAGCTTGCCTTGCTTGCTTAGCACACAATCCATGACTAATAACAGGCAGTCATTTCAGGTCTAAGGGAGCTAATGGGAACACTTGTGGTCAAGGTTCCTGTGACAACCCTGTTTGGTCTTGACTCAGATGGTGTCAGAACTGTTGGTCAGAGGGAGAATTTCTTTCTACAAGAGAATCAAGATCATCTTATATCCCTTGGCATCGAGTAACTTCCAAATTCAAATGACAGCAAGCCTTAAACGTTCTTGTGGCTTCTTTTAATGGTGGGGTAGTTCTTACGGGCAAACTGCAAATATTTTTTTAGCTCCCAGTGAAGTTTCCAGGTCTCTTGCTGGGGCAGGCGCTCATTCCAGAACTGTGCACCTGACAGACGGGAGGTTTGAGTTTCCTGAGTAAGTACCACGGACAGAGGCGAAACAGCCCAGTCTGGGAACTCCTGGTTTAAAACAAGACTATGTCAGGAAAACAGTCATCGAAATAGAAAACAAAGCTAGCCCCACATGGCCAGCTTCCAACTCAGACAAGTAGTCTGAATATCCCATTTTGATTGTTTTTTTGACACTTGACGTGTTTTGCCTTGGTTCAGTTTAAGGCCTACCTTACGAGTCAGCCTGTCCCTTGCTGCGGAAACACTTTGTTTTGTGAAGGACCTTATGTACTCTTCATCTTGTGAGGTGTTCTCTGAACCAATCTCAAGATACTTTCCTCCTACTGTGAAGGTGAGGGGGGGAGCAGGCAGTCACTAAACCCTAAGGATGCTTTGCAGAGATGGCATAGCAGCAGAATTCCATTCAGATTTACTAACTGACCTGTTTTTTGTTTTTTTTTTTTCTAAAATCATGTGTTGTTTGGGAGAGAACTGCGCATTGGACATGGGGTTGTTGCTTTTTCAACAGGACGACAACCAAACTGTACAAATGGTCTCCTTAGCTGCTCCTTGGCTGACTGCCAAACGCAGTCTCATCATGAAAAATCCAAGAGGATAATCATTATCTTGCTGTGTCAACAGCTGGCCTGCATGCTTTCTCTATCATTCATCAGGGTTTGCACCATTAAAGTTCAGGGGAGGTGTTGCTTCAGTTTTATATGGATTATAAGTAGTGGTATGGAGCAACTCGCTGACCTACCGCTTTTTTTTTTCTTTTAAATTAATCCGTCAGGGAGGTTCCAGGTTCTAGTGAACAGCCATATCCATGTGATGTAGCTTTCTCCTATATTTTTAATCACGAGGCGTCACAGGGAGGGAGGATACTTGCAAGTCACTTGTAGTGGGATTAGCAGTAACGTGTTCTGATGGTTTCGTAACTTGGTGGCACTAAAAGGCTGTCAATGAACTTGCTTCCCTTAATTATACTTCATGAATCCATCAGAAGGGTCCTGTAGACCACAAGGTTTATATCATTGTTATGCCAATGCTGTGTTTCAAAGCAAGTTGAAAAACATGTTATAGTATCCCCTCAAATGAAAGGGATGAGATTTTATTTCCAAACTTTTGTCTAGTACTATGAGAACCACATCTCTCTGAACTCCGATTTACTGCTTTGCAAACTCTGTGTTGTGAAAGCTCTGTTTTCTTGCTTAGATACTGGCAGCAGCCAGCATTGTGCTTGAAACAACTGTAGCTGTTTGCACATACAAGCCAAAAAATATTCAGCTTGCTGAAATGATCAGTATGATCAAATAAATGCCTGTAAGTAGGGACTGTAGTAGTGGGAACATATCTGTTGCACTATTAGGTGTCACTTTTCTATAAAAGCTTTTCCCATTTATTTTATTTAAATGGAAGTTACGTTGTACAGCATCTCATGGAAGCTTTCTCAGGAGTTGCTACTTGTTCATATAACTGGTTGCTAACTCAAGGCCTGCATGGCTGAATAATGTTTTCAAATATTGAGGCCATAAGCTTTTTAGTTTTGCTATATAAAAATAAATGAAAATGTTAAGTTCTGGAGAGAGGTCTTACTTTCAGTTAGTTATTCCCCTTCTGCCTTGGACTGGTTAATGAGATTAAGGGGGGGAAAAACACAGTGGTGCAAGAAAAACATTCACCATCTACTAGACTTCTGGGGATTGTGTTGTGTTCAGTAATGTCTCTGTACTGCTTTTCCTCTGCAGTCAGTAACGTATTGTCATAGGAGCCAAGTTAATATCATATAGTGTCAGCCACTGCCATGTTCAAAACAATCAGGGCTAAGTCCTCAGTCACTGCTTTATGTCCTTTGAGCTGGATCCCACAGCTGACCTGAGTGAATGTCGGGCCTGAGAGGCGCTCTGACCGTTGTGATATTGGTGGAGATTTGCTCCAAAGCTGACTTACATGTACATTTATGTGAAGCAGCAGAAGAGAGAGGGAGCTTCTGTGGAGCCGTACCACTTTATGCACCCCATGGATCTAGTACACTGTGAATAGTAGTGTGAATGCATCGGCAGTACTGTGCCTGATTCTTACCCTTTCTTGTTTTTGACATTTTACTCTGAGTCTTAAAATGTAAAAAAATATATATCCTAAGCAATCAGTTACTGTCACGGGGGCAATGTTGTCTCCCATGCAGAATTAAGTTTCCTTCTTGATGTAGATTTTGTTAGCTAAATATCACAAGTACTTTCACAAGTTTACAGCCTGTGTCCCACTCTAATATGCTGACCACAATCGTTTGAATTATATCCAGCATTTACTGCAAGTCTGCTGCACTTGCACATTGTGAAGCTCTCTTACCCCCTAGTGGAAGTGTTTGTCAGTCATGAGGATTTTATGTAGCCCTTTTGCTTTGTCAAGGATCAGACTTCCTTGGTAAACATCTTTTTGATGTCATCCATTGGATTTAAAATATGACAGCATTTCCCTCTTACTCTGTAGTAGCTTGCCTTATTTCCTCATTGTTTTATTTTCATCGACTTGTTTGCCAAATTTGTGTTGTCTAGTGTCTAGTGTTTTTTTTAATCATATTGTATCGAACTTTCTAGTTCGGTCTTCCTCTGCAAAAGACTAGATGTCCATTTTGTCAAGCCGAAGGCAGAACTTAAATATGGTTTCTTAGCAGTTGCTTAGATGGGTCAAAGAGTTTGTCAGTTGCTCCTCATCTTATGCCCTTACTAAGTGTAGGGATATATATTTTTTGATATATTATTTTTCTAGGCATTCTGCATTTCAGACAGTCTCAAGAAGAGATTCACGTACAACTGAGGGAACCTTGAAATTACTTGACTTGACTTTGGTTTTCCTTGCATTTACTGCGGATAAATCCTATTCTTGCTATCAAGAGTGAAAAAACAGAGGCACTGAACTTTGCCGGCTTTTCCCTCCTTCATCATTTAAACAATAATTTCAGCTTCAGGAAATCGAGCATAAACTAGATACAAAATTCATTTATTTAACAACATTTCAGGAGGAGGGGTGTAACTTCTATAGACAAGTTTCATGTGCTTTCTGTATCAATGGTAATATAGCAACCGTATTCCTCATGATTATAATAATTTTCATTTCAATGAGCCTGAGGTATTAATGCTCTGAAGATTTGCATGCTTTTTTTCTAAAAACCCGCCATGGTCTTGAATGTTCAAAGCAGCAGATAGGGTTGCAAAGACATTTTCCATGTACATTAGCATTGCTGATCAAATTTAGATGGCTCTCCTGCCAGAAAAGTCTCAAATATGCCCTGATTTTAATACTTTGGGGTCAATGATTCAGTCTCTGACTATGCAAGCAAACACATTACATGATACTTTTCAAAAATTAATGATATTTAGTCTATTATTGTATTTTTGTTCTCCATTTCCTTATTGGGTGACTTTCACAGTACTCATTAGTCTTATTTAAAAACCTCCTTGTGGTTTGCAGCTAAGACAAGGTATGTAGTTGTTGTTGTGCCAGCATTGTTCCCTGCTTTTTTTCCCTCTGCTTTGCCACCCATTTGCTTATAAACTGAATTAATTTTCATTTGAAACTTTGTGGCAAAATTGGAGGTCAAAATAGGCAGGCTTATGCTGCTGAAGGCTCCAAAGGCTCTGCCTCCTGCTTTTCTGTAAAACTATAAGCGAGGATTTTGTTGACAGGACTCTGAGAATGAATTATCTGAATATATTTCAGTTGCTACTGAAGTTTATGTAAGAGTTAAGCATTTTATTTTTATTTTTTTTTAAATGAAATGGTTGGGGTTTTTGGCTTTGCTAAATATTTTGGTAGGGGCTTAAACTGGAGAAAACCAAATGCTGCTCAGAATTTTTTAATCGCTATTTATTACTTTCCTGGCCTACCAAATGAGAAGATTGGAGACTGAAACCTATTACAGAATGGGCTTGCAAAATACCGTTTTGTGTGTTCTTAAACGGCAATATTAAATGGTTTATTAGCGTAGGGCTTGTTTTCTAGGCCATGTGTGCAGTTCGCAGTTAATTGCAGGGAAGAATTTGCAAAATACAAGAGTTCTGAGAATTTTTCATGCCAAAATCTTGATTGAAGGCCAGGAACCTTTACCAGCCTTTGTAAACTGACCCAGAAAGAGAAATGAGACAAACAGGATCTGTAAACAAAGATCACGTGCTCTTCACAAATACATTTTGGAAGGATGGTTGCCTAGGGAAACAGGAAATGGGGAATTATACAACAAACAAAAAGGACTGCCAAACAAATTTGCTGACCTTTTTTCGGGGAATTATGATGAAAACTGCTGGAATCCTCAGTATTTCACCATATTTCTAAATCTGAAGGTGGAACAGAAGAATAGCTTGTTAATTATACCACAACTATTTAGAAAATACAAAAAAACTTCCTTGACATCTTTGTTCTAAAGGAAGCGATGCAAGGTTGTGAGCTATGTAATCTTGAGTTCATCTTGATTTCTTCCCCCCCGAGTTTCCCAGCTTTTGCAATTAAGCTTTCGGGAACCAGTGCTTCCTTTTACGGATGAGAGAATAACAAAATCGCTGTATTCATATCTACAAGGATCATCTAGCTCTATCCTGAGACAGTTCAATCCTTGTTTCTGAGATGGTAGGCTCCCAAATAGCTCTGCCCATGCCTTTCCGTAGGCTCTCGGAATGGTTTTTGTGCTTTCCAGTAGTCACAAATAGGAAGGAGAAGAAGAGAATTTGCGTTGGACTTGTCTTTAGCAGGGAAGGAGTCGTCCTCTGGGTGATGTTTCTTCTCCTCCTCCTTCTCGCCCAGCTTTGGAGGCCATGCCCAAGAAGCAAATTGTTTGCTTGTGTGACTTCTGCACGCCTCCTATTTTGAGATGTGCCATTTCAGTTGTGGTAAATAATGAGATTGCTGTGGAGGAGGGAGGTTATAGAAAACAGCAGCTGGAGATCACTCAGTCCCAAGTTTTGGGATGAAGAGGTGAAAATAATTAAAAGGAAGAAAATGTACAAACTAGCTAGTGGTGTTAAACTCAAAATGAACTTTATCCCAGAATACCGAAGAGATAGTTATGTGAAGTCTCATGCTTGTAGCATGGATATTAGAAAATCCGCTGAATTGCAAGGAGAGGGAAATGCATTTATCTCACGCTTGTATCCCTTCTTGTATCCTCCATTGTTTTCAGTGTGTAACTTTTTTTCTTTGTCAGTTCCAATGACGGGTTTCACTCAAAGGGCTACTATTGATCCAGAACTGAACGAAATCCACGTCTTGTCAGGGCTCAGTAAAGACAAGGAGAAGCGGGAAGAGAATGTAAGGAATTCCTTCTGGATTTATGACATTGTGAGGAACAGCTGGTAAGTAAATGAAAGGGATGATCTTTCTACACTGACTTTCTTTAGAAAGCAATCCTACACGATCCTGTCTCCCAGGTAGCTCTATAAACTCTTACAACTGTGGAATGGTAATATTGAAGACGACCGAGTTCCCTTGGGGCACCTCTTTCTCCCATAGTCTTCAGGAACACCACGGCAATAAGCCAAATGAGGGAGAGAAATCATGTGAACCTCTTTATTGGAGGCGGGTGGAGGGGATGAGGGGAAGTAAGCCATTATAAGAAGTTTTCCCTGGACGAACTGTTCAAGTCCAGGATTCAGCAAATTCGGTCAAATGTAAGTTAATAGCAGTGTACATGGTACTAGTTATTAAAAACTAAGGAAACTGGTCTGCTATATGAACCGTAATGGAGAAGTGTTCGCGCTAGACCTTTCAGCTTTTTCCAGGCTGCATGCAGTGCTAGAGCCAGTATTCTGCGAAAATATTTCCTTGTTTGTTTGCTGCACGGTATTTGGTAGCTGGTTGCCACTGCCCCTTTCCAGAGCTGGCAGCGTTTTTGTGTTCAAGGTCTCTTCTAATGTGGGGCCAATCACTTTGAAGGGTGTGAATGCTGTTTTTTTTTTTTAAAACGGGGTTTCAGTTGGAAAAAACAACTTAAGTCTGCTTGGAAATCGGTGACTGAAATGCTAGCTTTGCTGAAATTTCTGGCGTGTAGCTTTGCTGTGTCCAAGATGGTGTTCTCCATGTTGAAAACATACTTCATGCTGACAGTTCTGCTAGCAAATAATGCAATATCTAAAGATACATTCAAAGCTCATGATAAAAGTTTTTTTTAGAATTTTTTTCTTGTTTGGCTTATGATTGAGGACTGTGTTCAGCCAAGGTGACCTTCTCTGGTTGTTGGATGGGTTTCTTTGCAGAGCTAAGAGCGAGAATGGGGTAATAGAGGACAATATATAGAGAAGTAAGAAAGTCTTTGGTGTTATATTCCAAAAAGTTCGAATTGACATCATAGCCTTTCAGTAACTTTTTCTACTTCCTGTAGGTACTACTAATCATTACTTCCTGCCTTGCATTTCAGGTCTTGTGTCTATAAAAATGACCAAGCAGCAAAAGAGAATCCAGGTAAAAGCCTTCAGGAAGAGGAGCCCTGCCCGAGGTTTGCTCATCAACTGGTGTACGATGAGTTGCACAAGGTATGAGGGTCCAGCTACATATATGGCAATTTTCTTTAGTCTTACTGCTCTTCCAGTGTAGTTGTTTCTTCAAAGGTGGTACAATGAATATAGCTTTTTGTGTAGTGTTAGTGTTTGGGTTAATGTGGTGGGTAAATTTCATTTAGCTTATTATCACCTTTTGAAATAAGGTGCTAAGCTACTTTTTATGTGAATGTAAAGTAGACGTGATAGCTCCTAGATGAAATCAAAATACTGTCATGGGATATACTAAACCTCTACAAAGTTGTCAAGCGGCTAGCTCCTAGCTGTTGTACTTGAGAACACTTGGAGCTTCGTTCATTATTTTCGGGGACTTAATCTCACAACCTGTTAGTGACTAAATGGTCACAAATAGTTACCAACATTTTTAGGAAGAAGTGTGTTTGAATGAACTAATCACTGTTAAGAATCTCCTCTAACAGAGGTACCTTGCTTTGCCCTGCACGTCAGAAGCAACTGTCATTCTTTAGCACTGTATGATTTGAATAGATGTGTTCATGCTTAAATAGACTAAAAATTGTTTGTAATATACATGACTGCTCGGTAGACTTAGGGGTTTGTGCGTATTAACTAATAAAGCACAAACCCATGGATTAGGTTACTGTAACTTCATTAACCTATGAATTTAAATTACTGTGACACACTGACGTAACTTTCACAGATACTCCGTAATTAAAATAAACTGTTTCCAAAATTTGGTTTTAGTCTGAAACAGTCAAACTGAAAAAGACAAATATACTTTAGTCTTATCATTCCGTGGGATGTTAACTGAATTTGGGAAACCCAACTAGCCCAAAAGTCTGGAGATGGGGGGATTTTAAGGAAGAATGAGTACAACTTCTGTGTAGAGAACTTGTATGGTTTGTCCTCCTCGTGGACATTAATCTTGGACAGTAAATCCTGTTCTGCCTTTAATGGCTTACTTTTAAGCCTAAAGTACTATAAGATTGAGAGTAGTATTTTATAAATTACTGTGAAGGTTGCTGAATCATGGCAGTTGCCCAGCTTTATCTGAAGAGCTGTTTGATGTACTTGTTTTGAAGAGTCTTATTTTTAGAAACCTCTGTTCAAATGACCTTTCTAAACTCCTCTGATATAAATAAGGAGAGCCTACATCAGTGGGATGCAAAATATATTGTTTTGAGTGATTATTTTTAAAGCTGTAGAGAAAGGTAGCCTGTTGGACTTCTTAACCTCAGTATTTGAAGACCCTTTGTGGCATGTTTAATGTCAACAGTTCAGAGTCTGAAATGCCAAATGATGTGAAGAAAAATAAAGTGAAGAAATAAACAGTCTTTTTTTAACATTTCAGTTTTTCTTGAGATTTGTCTCTGTGTAAGTCTAGCCGTGCATTACAAAGGTGTTTTATCCTGAAATTGTCAGAATGGCTGTTAAGGACTACTTCATTTGAGCTATCTTGGGGAAAAAAAAAAAGAATTTTGCATACAGGTATATTTAATATTTATATGATTGTCATCTCAGGATGAGATACTAGAACTCTTTTTTAAGACAATCACAGTAATGGTTGTGACTTCTGATTCTAAGATTGGTGTTTTCTTCCTCAGTTCTTTTTAGTATTACAATTTTGGCTTTTTGCTTTACTCTTTATTCAGTTACCTCTTTCCTTTGTGCCCAGGTAGTGTATTGAGTGTCTTACAGCTGGGCTGCTGTATCGGGGTGAGGCAAACCTGCCTTTCCATAGACCATGGAAATAATTTTTCTCTGCAAGTCAAATTAAGGCTCTGTAGAGTTCATGGGACGTGTGGGGACACAGGCCTGTTGGCCGTCTTCCAAGATTATGCTGGACGGGGCTTGTTGTCACTGTACTTTGAGCATCTTTAGCACTTCCTGGTCAATTTGCCAGTGGCCCTTGTCTTTGGGGAAGATAATGGTCTTCACTGACTCAAGGAAAAGGCTCTTTGAACTGTGGTGCGTTAGTAGTGCAGCTTCACCAACAGTGCTCTGACTGGAGCCAGAGCATTAGGCTGCAAAGTCCCTTTTTTCTGAGTCTCCCTTATAAGCATAATTGTATCTTCAAAGAAAATGTGTGATTGGTGGAGTCACCTCACAATTATATGGGTATAATCTGCTCATCTCCAAATTAGATAAGGGCTTAATACAGGTGCTTTAGTTTAGCCGCTCATGATAATGAGAATTTGGAGTCTTTGAGGAGGAGATTGGAGAAGAGGTTGGTAATCCATCAGTTTGAGTATTGTTTGCATCAAGTATTTTAGGGCAGCAGGAGTTGGCTCAGATCCTTCTTTTCTGCTCATGTCTTATGTGCTTAAGGATTTGTCATGCTCATCGGTTTTTCCTAAAGAAAGAGATCACATGGTTTGTGGATGTTTGTTTATAAATATCTCGGGAATCTGCTAGAGGGAGGTTCTAACAGTGCAGCTTTTTTATTATCTTAAAATATAAACAGTTTAAGAGTACTTTCTTCATCTCCAAAGGGACAAAGTAAGGCTAATAACAAGATGGAGCAGCTTGTCTAAAAGGCATAGTTTTCTCCCTCCAGAATAAACCTCTCCAAAGATGCTGACTTAGTAAATAGTCTTTATTTAGTGGATGTATACAAACAATCAACTTTTTGATCTGCCTCTCATTTGCTTAGGTTCATTACTTATTTGGAGGGAATCCTGGTAAGTCCTGCTCTCCAAAGATGAGATTAGATGATTTCTGGTCTCTGAAGCTCTGTCGACCTTCAAAGGAATACCTGCTAAGACACTGCAAATACCTCATAAGAAAGCACAGGTATAGAAACAAAAGATGTTTTGCAATTTTCTTTTTCAGAGTGTCTTTTTTTAAGTTGCTACGACTTGAGTATCTTGGAAACTCTTTTGGGAAATGTCACTTCGTTAGTTATATGGTGGTCTGCAGGTTTCTTTATTATTTTTAATGTTTTAAAATTATTTTAATGATAAGCAGTGGGGCAGGGATAAACTACAAAATTAACTTTATGCTGGTTTTACTATGTTATTCTAAAACTAGAAAAATCTGGCTATTGTGTGTGGAGTCATGGGGAATTTTTAGATTCCCTTTTCACTCTGCTCATCAACATACGTTTTGGTACTGTCACCTCCCAAGGAAATGGAGTATGTTTCTGAAACACTGTGCTAGGAGATAGTAACAGCTCGCAAGGATGCTAATGAAGTCTGGGGGCTGGATTCCTTTGCACATCTGAAACTCAGTCATGGTGAGGTCATCAGAGTTTCTCATTCAGCAACACTTGAAAGATCTCACTTATGCAGAATTCAGCTGCACCGTCATGCTTCTTGCACTCTGGATGTTTCAGAACTGCCTTATGTTTGCTATTAAGGGCAAGAGCTTTTCAAAATCGAGCTTACAGTGTTGCCTTAGGCAAGAAATTGCAGCAGTGAGACAGCCTTTCAAAACCCGGCAAATTACTTGAAGCTAATAAATAGCTCTTTCTGCATTCTTGGTGAGAATACTTTGTTATCAGGTTCTGCCAAGAGTTGGAGGTTGTTTTTTACTGATGGTATTTTACTTCTGAGGCAGCAATCAAATTGCTATACCCAACTTGTAATCACTGTGGCTGGATGATGCCTTTTGCAGATTAGCCAAGCGGTAGATGTGAATACCAACAAGAACAAATAAAGGTCTTGCCCAGTAATCTGGGAGGCTTATTAACCCACGTGTGGTTGTATGCAAATGCAGCTGCACAGACTCCAGAGACATCTCTGGATTGCTTGCTTTCACTTGCTTAAATTGCCCTCCAAGGAAATGCTGGTGCATATTGTCTGGCAGAAGTTTGGGTTTATGCACCATGCTCCCATTTATTGGGGTCCGTTTTAAGGAGCCGAATGTGACCAGTCATAGTCTTTGTGCTCCACGCACTGGCTCAACGACTTGCATTTTTAGACAATTTCAAAATTTGGGCTACGGATGTCCACTACAGTATAAATAGACAAGTAGATGACCTAAATGAAGAAATAACAATATGGTTAAATCTATTCAGCGTGACTTCTTTCAGTTTGAAAAGCTATGCCCTGTTAAAGGTAACTGAAATATATTGTGAATAAAATATCTTGCATTCCTGTAAGACAGTTGATACAAGGCAATTAAGTAACTGAGAACATGGTTTTTAGAGTCCTCACCGCTGGAATCCAGAATTGTCTGAGTTGTTTTCATGGGGATGTTTAATCTTGTGTATTGGTGATTCAGAGATGACAAACAGTGTGATACTGCACTCGGTGGATAGGTGATAGGGGAAAAAAATAGATATTTTTTTAAACCTCATCCTTTCTAGGATTATGCACCCGACTTGGTGCTGCAGGGAAGTAGCTCTGCTCGCTGAGGATGCTGAGCCCAGAATAAGTTTCTAAGGGCTCTATTAACTTCAAGGAATTCACAGAAGTTACAGTTTCTGTTCGTTAAAAGAAAATGAGAAAATACTGGTGGAGCTGCACAGGATTTTTATGTACATGTGCTCTTCCCAAAGGTGATATTAAGGTGCAGTATTCATTGAATCCAGAGGTTTTCATCCCATCGTCCCTTTTTCTGTTGTCTGGCAGAAGCAGGGAGCATTCTCCATCGCTGTACTTCCAGTGATGCTTCTGTGTCATCAGGAATGTAAATATCCCTGGGACTGGAATGCTCGAGGCTTGCCTGTGTCTGAACTGTGCTCCTCGTATGAGGTGCTACTCATACCTTACTTTATTTGTGGAAAACACACCGTACTAAATGTTTGATAATTATGTTTTAAGAAGTTGATGTACATATGGTTTTGAACATTTTTGGTAAGAGTATAATACTTTGCCCTTGTTAACTCCCTTACACCCCAAAAACCCCTACCTCTCTGTTTCAGTCTGGCTTGAAAGCAGATACTCCAGCAAATATGAGGCAGAGCTGCCATTAACATTGTTTTATTTGGAAGTATTTGGCTGAAAGTTCCATTTGATAGGTTTTGCTCCTTGTAGAAATCACAGAATCACACAAAAATAGTAGTACTTAGCCCTGAAGGAAATGGTTGAGATCATGTTTTCTGTCTCTTCTTTGTAGGTTTGAAGAGAAAGCTCAGACTGACCCTCTTAGTGCACTGAAGTACCTGCAGAATGATTTGTATGTAACTGTGGATCACTCAGACCCTGAGGAGACAAAAGAGGTAGTGATGAACAATCTTTGTCTTACTTATAAAGAAATATAAACTGTGTTCTCAGGTGGAAGTTTAAGCCTCTTAAACCTTGTTTGTATTCAGTTTGAAAAAGCTCTACCGGTGCATGACGCTTTGCTATATCGTATATTTCTCCGCACTAAAGATCATACTGTTTTAGAAAGTCATTTTACAACTGCCGTTCCAGATAAAATAGCTTTTGTACTCACAATAGTAAAGACTAGGCCTTTGTTTTAATTCCGATGTACTGGTGTGTATTTTAGGAGCTTTAACTGAAATGTAAACTCTCTGAAATGTCACGAGTCTGTAGTTTGGTTGTGTGGTAGAAAGCGAATAGAAACTTATTCGCACTGCCTTTTGGCTTGTCAATATTAAATAGCTCTGGGGGAGGGAAAAAGGGTTTTCTCTAGATGATAAGTATTTCTGGAAGTAGATTGTATATATACATTGCTCGCTAACCTTAAACTTCTATTTCCTTTGCCTTTTGAATATTATCCAGTATGCATGTTCATTTATTTGTTCCAGGAATTTGTTCCCATTTCCTGTTTTGATTCCATTACTGCAGTACGTGTCGCTTTACAAAAAGGATTAAAGAAATAGGGGAAAATGTCAGATAAGGTGGTTGATTTGACTCTGCCATTAATTTCCACATGGGACTTGGGGCAGCTGGCTGGATGTACAGGCATTCAGCTCCTTACGGGTACATGAGGAAGAGGAGACCATCGTTCTTGTGTTCATGAGTTAAGAGGAGACCCTCTTCTTGCATTAATGACTTGAAGTGATTCAGCAGCTCCTTTTATAAAACTGCAATAGGAGAATGGGCGCTGAGTCTCTGGGTTAAATCACTTAATCTGTGGGATTTAACTTGTTTCTTTAGATAAAGAAAAGATCGTTATACAAACACTAAAAGCTTTTGAGGGGAGAATATGCTTCTTGCAATGCACAGTATAGAATTGTAGGGTTAGAATAATTAAGAAAAAATATTAACTCCTATCAGGATCTTGGAACCAATCACATTCGTTACAAATTCTGCTTAGCCTTAATAAACATCTGGTCCACTAAAACATTTAAGTGCTCTGCCTGTAAGTTCTGTTAGATGATTTCTCATTTAAATTATCCCATATCAAGCAGTTTCACATCCTTTGTAGCCATTTCTAGCATAGGGAAGATGGATAACAGATAATCCCACTTTTTTTCAGGTAAAAAGGAGATTTATTTGTTTTTTTTTTAACCCATGCAGCATGCTTCAAAGTGGCTCAGCCCAATTATGCCCCATCTTCCCAGTATGGTAGCACTTTACTCTTCCTGTTTGTACCTGTAATAACCTATAACATACAATAATTATTCTGATGCGCTCTCTTGCCCTTGTCCCTCCCACCCACTGTAAGACCGTGTCCTGTATTCTCTGATCTCCCTTTCTCTCCATGTCATACCTGTGTGCTGGTAGCCCTGTCATGCCCCGTGAAGGCCATAGCTCTCTTTGGCCGACTTCTGCTGGAGAGATCTTGCATCTCATGGCTAGCTGTGCCTTTTTATTGCCTGAACTGAGAGTATTTGTGGTGTGATCAGCAAGCTCCTCTCCTTTTAGTTCTTGCTGCCTCCTGTCAGCAGCAGACCAAAGGAGCAGCCGTAAAAGCTGCACATTGTGCACATCTGGCATAGCAGTTCCTTTAATGTTCTACATTTGACATCCCCAGTTCAGTGTGTAGTATTTAACTTGTCCACCTTGTAAGAATGAAGAATTTACTTGACTGCATGGAAACCCTCTGAGATTTTGGAGAAAAGTAGAAGCTTTGTCATACAAGGTAGAAATGGAATAAAAGGTTTTTTTAAAAAAATAAATTATCCCTTTTCACAGAACAGACTAGTGTTTTGTACCTTAATGATCTAGTGCATGAGCTTAGGTAGCTCAATCCAGCAGAGTGGATATGTTGTGATTCCTTTCTCTGCAGGCCTAATGCCTGATCTGAACAAAATTAAGTAGCTTCTGTCCATCATGCTGGTCTGTTGGATCAGCGGAATATCGTTCAGCAGAATTAAAGCTTCGGTTCCAGGGGTATTCTGTAATCATTTAACAATTTCTGGGAGGCTTTTTTGTTTGGGTTTGGCCCCCCCGCCCCCAGTTGTGCTGGTCAAAAAGCTTTAACTTCCACAGCTTCCTACAGCGGAACAGATCTGCCAGGTATATGGCATTGAGCCAGCTACTGCACTGGTAGTGACTGGGTGTATTTCCAGCTGACGTCAATTTACCTTCCGGTTATCAGATCGAGTTGGCTTTTTGCTCTGGCATTGCATCTTCAAATAGCTCTTGTGCTTTCCAAAGGACTGACGCAGGCGTTTTGGATTCTGTATCAAATTTCAAGCATCAGTTTGATTGTGTGTCTCAGCCCAGACACCTACATACTCTGTCTTTATTTGTAGTTGTGATCATCTTAATTAATACCCAAGGCTGTATATCTGATCGACTTGCTCTGTGCTGGCTATAGCCATTGGATGTTGTAAGGCTTCTTAGCGTGGCAAATCTTAAGGGAACTCTTTCTTCTCCTGTTCTTTTCCCTCTTTCCGGGGCAGCTGTTAAACTTGGGAAGGACCAAACTGAATAGGTTTATCACCAACTTTGTGCTACATCTCTGTTAGAGACGGGTCTATACGGCTTCATGACTTACGGACTGAGATATGGGTAGTGTTAGATAATATTACAAGCAGAATTTCACTTTGAGGTAAGGCTTACTTGCTTTATAATAGAAGTAATTTTTTCTAACTTTGTTAGGCAAGTCTCTTCAGCTGTTTTGAGTCGGATGCCAAAGAAAATAAACAGACTGTTCTTGAAACTTGCTTTGGCATTAGTAACCAATTTTGTTTAAAGTAGCATGAATGATTGACAGTAGGAACATACCCCCAGATTTTCATTTCTTTGTTGTGAATTTTAGGGTTGTTAATAGGGTTATAGGGTTTTTTTTCTTTTTTTATTCTAAAGTGAACTAGATGCGTGCAAGTAACAGCTATTGTATGGGTGCTTGTTTTAGTAGCCACTGGCTATGTGCCAGCTCTGTCTCTGCTGTTGCCCACAAATGCAGATCCAGTTCTCTTTAACTGTGATTCTGCTTGAAATCGCTTAAACCTCTTCAGTTAGTTCAGTATTTTCAGATCAGTCAATTATTATTTTTTTTTTTATACTGGCTGTGGATTAATAGCTGTGACGCTGTATGTAAAGGAAGGTAGATGCCCAGAGCATGTGGAAGTTTGTGTATTCCAGTTCATGGAGAGATAAAAGTTGTATAAAAGACTGGGATTTGTTGGTGTAAAAATTTCTGGTGACATGGGTGTTCATCTATGTCATACACAGACAGATGTGCATTTGGTGATACTTTGGAAGTAGAGGCTTTTGAAGATAAAAGGATGGCCAAAATAGAAAATGGAAATGAATTCCAAGTTTTGTACTTATGTCAAGGAAAAAACAGGTGCCATTAAAGCACAAAAACGTCAGTAGATCACATACAAGGCTAAACGAATTGTTCTTTCAACATGGGCGTCATCATACTCGGAACATTGCTGCTGCTTAGTGGGCTATAGAAGAAATCAAGTCGATACAAAAAATGGCCAGTACTGCCCAAGTAAAGGAGGGTAAGATGATTTTGTACATTGAGATTCAACTACTGGTGAAGTTCAGTCCCATGACCGCTGTAAAACAGATACAAAGTGCAAGTAAAACTCGCAGTATGTTTTTCTTGGAGCACGGGAGGAGAAAGAGCAAGGACCTGCAGGCCAATTGAGGCCTGACTAGCTCGTAGACTGAGGCTGGAGGCCCCTGTTCGAGGCTGCTTCATACTTTCCATTCTTAAGACCTTGTCTTTAATAAATTTGCCAGATAAAGCCAGCAGGGCCCAAAAGTATTGTTTGAGTCTGCACTAGACTGATATTTCTGGGAAAATTGAAGCCCAAATGGGAAAAATAATTCTAGGAAGAAGCTAAGAAAAGCATGCTTCTCTTCTGCGTGTCCTGCTGTGATTCTTTGTAAAGCCTCAGAGTCTGAGTGCTGCAGGAGCGGAGGCTTTGGAGCCAAGGAGCCTTTACAAAAACAGCGTTCAGCCTTCCCAACTTCAGCTACTGACGGCTCTGTCCTCAAAGAATTTGAGCTACTCGTTGCTGCTTTGAGCTTACACTACAAGGCACCATCCCAGCGGAACTGGTCAAAGCTGAGAAACTGTTGTACACTGTGATGTGAGCGCTCACTGTACAGCCATTATGGAGGAGGAATTATGTCTGATTCATGCAACCTGCCAGGTATCCAAAAAGGAGTTACTTGTTCCGCCTTAGCGTTAACCATTTTGTTTGCGCAGAAGGCAGAGGTGTGCAGCAAATGTAGTGGAACTTGCATGGGTTGCCTGCCATGTGGCAAATAGCTTTTTTGCTGTAGGTAGAAACCTAGATAAAGTACACACAACCGATAAAAGAACAATAATGTTGGATACATGAAGGTCATAAGTTGGAAAATGCCAGAATGAATATTACCCATGTAGTCTTAATTTAGCCTCTTTGAATGTGGTTGATTATATTAGCTAACCTTACATTAGTTAGCCAGATTTATATAACTAATGCAGCAGATGTATAACTAATAGAGCCTTTTATTAGTTAACCAGATACATTTATCTCTAAGGAACCCCTGCCTCAGTTCAGGGGTGGGTTGGATCTCTGAGAGGGAAGTTAATTGTGTAAAGAAGGGAACTGTTGTCTTTCAAATGGAGGCTTAATCTGGAATAGATGAAACCAGTGAGCCAGGGGGATTGTCAGAAGAAAATGGGTGGTGGTGTGATTAAAGCAGTTGGGTGCTTCTGCTGGATAATTGAATTCTGGTCCTGTCTCTGTAACAGAGTTGCTATGTGACCTTACGCAAATTGTTTTCCTAGATGGTCATTAATGGGGTTCTTCATTCTGGTGCCTGATGGGAGAGACCTGAGGTGTGATTTGCTTGAAGGCTTTGCTTTTCTGGCTGCAAGTCAGTTCAGAAGCTGCAGCATAATACTATGTGTTTGAAAAATCAGATTCTGTTAGTTTCAAATACGGGACCCAAAGTTAATCAGAATTTTAAGTGCTGTCTGTTACAATAACAAGATGATAAAAAAGCTGATGGAGACATTAATTCCTTTTTTAGAGAAGAGTTTGAACTTCATGAAGAAAGTACTGCATCGTATATCTCCTGTGAACAGCGCGTAGGAGATCTGGTCTTGAGAAACCAGTAACTGTCCTTTGCTCTGAAAAAAAAAAAGTAGGGGTCCTGTGGGAGAAGATCATATGGTTAGCTGGTATTGTAGTGCAAATGCAGAGTGAACCAGCTTAGGCTCAGTGCTGTCCGTAACTGATGTTCTTAACTTACGTGCTTGACTTTTCTACCAGAAAATGCTTTCTAAATGTGAGCTGATACTTAAAATATAAGTTCAAAACAAACAAACAGACCTCAAGGTTAACTGAAGTGCAGTGTCATCAGTGAAGAAAGAGACAAGATACTCCTTCCCCCTCAAAGCGGGAAAGGAACTCGTAGTTTTGAAAATCCATTGTGCCTAGTGCAGATGAGGCTGGAATACCTGGCAGAGGGTCTTTGCAATGGATTTTTGGTCTCAGTTCTGCGAGTTACTAACTGGATCCTGCTTATATGGTTTCTTAGTTGAGCATCCTGAGACGCAGCCTTAAACGTGGCTTGCTTTCTGTTTACAGCAGGATGGCTGCCGGCGTTGCTGGGGGAGGCAAGGGAACCCCTCGAAGCATGTGGCATCTGCTTTGTCCTGGCATAGCTGGCTTCATGTGCTACCAGGCAGTTGGCAGCGGGCCCGTAAGGCAATTGTGTGGGAGGGAAAGATGGCCGGGACATGGCATTTGCTATCAGAAGCAGCACAGATTTAGCCACCAGTTTTATTGGATGTTTTGGAGCTATTCAAGCTGGGCATCTGTTTAAGTACGTTGCTGATTCAGAGCCAAGCAACTCTTACAAGTTACGCTAGCAGTGAAATACACATGTAGCATTGCAGTGCCTTTTTGATTTCATATAACCAGACCTCACGCTCAAGAGGGTACTTAATCAGCCTCTTCCCCCTCTTCTGCAGCTTGTTAATCCTGTATCTTTCTAACCTGTTCTTAAATACCTCCAGTGCCAGCTTCGTGTGATAGCCTCCCCAAAAGATGCAAATTTATTCTGGCATACTATGGTCCTTATTTTAGCCTGTTTTGTTTTGTTTTGTTTTTTCCCATTGTTGTGTTGAAACTGATCTTCCTGGAATGTTTTTGTGGCTTCTTGCACTTAGTTGTAGATTTACCTTTTTGTAGCAGCCTTTTACACTTACGGCTTTTTGCAGTTTCGTCCTTGGACGTTTTTCTGTGGAGGCTCTGCAACCCTGACTCCTTTGAATTTTCTTTGTCGAGCTTGATTTTCAGACCACTTGGTTTTTTTCTAGTGCTGTCCTCATATGCTACTAATTGATACAGGCCATCCAAAAGTGGTTGCCGTATTGTAGATGAGACTTACAAGCCTTGAACAGCAGGAGTATTTTTTTTTTTTTTACTTTATTTGAAGATCCTACTCCTTTTCATGCATTTTCTATGTTTTTGTCATTTTTGCAATAGGATGGTACTGATCTATTCTAACTCCTAAATGTATTTTCACAGAGCCTATGTACCCCAGTCTGTTTTGGATAGCTAATTATGCCTGTTTATGTTGATTTGCACTTGGCCCTTGTGAATTGCACCTTGAATCCATCATTATAAGCTGGATGAAATGGAAGAACAGTCTGAAGCCTGTCTGCTACCATGCTGGCAGTCTGAGCATGGTGTAAGGGCTGCGGACTCGGTGAACTGTCCTGTTTTGTGAAGCAGGCTGTCACTGAAAACCCAGAATGATGCTGACCCCCGGGGCACAGATGAATCGCTTCTGACTCATGGCTCCATCTTGATGTGAAACCATTGATGGCTACCCACAGTAAAGTTATTTGACCTATTTGCCATTCCCTGTTAGTTTAATCTAGGTGATGCCTTGATAATTGGCCTTAAATATCATATAAAAGCATCAGAAGTCCTATGAAAGTCAAAATGGACAATGTCTATTGCCAAGACCCATCCGTAGGGGCCTGCTGCCTTGTAGAAGAAATCAGATTGATGTGGTACAACTTGTTGTTGCCAAATCCACATTGGCTGTTACTCGTCACCTTCTCCACTCCTAGATGCCTGCAAATAGTCTTGTCTTCCCATTTTTTTCTTGAAATTGAAATTAAACTGATGGATATGTAATTCCCGACGCTTATTGCCACTCCTTTCCTGAACATATTTGATTCTCTTCTGTTCTTCCCCTTTCTCCCCCCCACCCCCCTTCTTTCCTTCGGGCCGTGTGCTGTAAAGACACACAGATAGGAGACAAAAGATTACAAGCCTTTAAGGGATCAGCTAATTATTTAAGAAAACATGACAAAGCACTAAGCTTTGCTACTAGCAGCCGGGGGCAGAGGGAGGTACTGTGTTCACTGTCTATCAGTAAGACATTAAGGGAGAATAAAACTGCGACTGTGTTACTTAAAATGTTTTTATTCATGATTCTGATGTTCCTAAGTGAATAATTTTGGGGGGGGTTTTTTGGGGTTGTTTTTTTTTTTAGTTTAAAAGACATTACCTCAAACTTGTGATATGAGCTTCTCTGGCAGTTCAGAAAGGTTGTTGCCATTTAAAGCTTTCTGTGTGTTCGAGAAGTTAATGCTGCACTCTAGCAGTTACCCTGTTTTTGTGCCATCTAATCGTTGCTCGCTGAGAATGTGCCACATTCATCCCTGGGAAAGTTGTTGCATGGAAGAGGCTTTACCTTACTTCTGCACTGTGATATCTGCCAGAGAGGCAAAAAAGTATATATAAAAAATTAGGTTTTAGGGCTCCCAGTCGAGTACTGTTCATTGCGCTAATGCTGCTCTAATTCTAGGAAAAACCATCTGACTTGGTCGGCCAAGGTGACAAAATGTATTGCTCATATGAAAGTGTCCGCTGCTGTTATTCATATGTGTGGCACAGTGGTTCTAAGGATCGTGCCAAGAAAACCCAGCAACTCTAAAGCTAGTTGGACTTCTATGAATCTTTTGGGGTTTTTTTCCTGTGCAGTTAATAACATTATTTATTTTTTTTTTCTTTCTTCCTTTGTCCCTCCACCTCCTCTTCTGCAGTTTCAGCTTCTTGCCTCAGCATTATTTAAGTCTGGCTCGGATTTCACCACTCTTGGTGAGTATTGTGTATCAAAAGAATTACACTGAGTATGTCCCCTCTGATAATTAGTGTTAGTTTCTGCTGGTTTTTATATCAAACGATATAGTTCATATGAATATTGTAGACCCTTTTTGGTTTGAATATGCAAAGTGCTACTACGTTGACATTTGAGAGGTTGTTTATAATGACCAATGTCCAATGCCTCGAGCCCATATTTAAAACATCTGTCACCAGTGGTTTTAAACCCATGCCTCCCGGGATCACTTTCTGTCTCTTATTACATCTGATGCTTCACTGTTACCCAAATAAACAGAAGCTTTGGTCAGAATAAAGCACCTCCTGTCATGTCACTTTGGAATCTCACAGCATGGCTACGGCTCTGTTTGCTGTGATAACTGCAATTCCTGGAGTAGTTTGGTTCGCTCTGTTCTTTGCAAAACTAGTTCTTTGGGCAGGATGTCAAGAGCGAAGAAAACAGTGGCGTGTAGGGCTGGAAACAGGAGGTCTGAGCCAAAGCCGTAATTTGTTTCGCTATTCTATCCAGTTAACTCTTTTAAACAGTTGAGAGGTGAATCCTGGACAAGCTATAGGAAGGCTATAGGCATAACTAACATTCTTGTAATGATGTGTTGTCCTCAAGTTACCGAACTCTTGTTAGGAATATGGATGACTTCAGTTTTTGACAAGCGTGTAATTCCTAATCTAAGGAACTGAGGGAAGGAAAAAGCCCCCTGTACTATCAACCCTGCTGGATGAGGAAGCTCTGCTGAGCTTGTGTGGTTTGGAAGGCGTTGTCTTAGTTGATGCTGTAAGATGAATTTCTTAAAGGAAGAAAACCCAAGTTTCAGAAAGTTGTTTTTCTCCTAGTTTTAAGTAGTCTAAAAGATGAATTAGTTCTTGGCACGGTACAGTACTTTATTCAGAAGTTGGATTTACAGATAGGAGGATACATACATCAAGTGGTGCTTCTAAAAGAAAACAAAAAATCCAAGCCCTCCTTGATTTGATTAACTTGGTTGACTTTGATTAACTGAAGAGTGAGTTCACTGAATTAAAAAGCATTCCTTTGAGATACCAGTGATTGAAGTAATACAAAGCAGAGGAAATCGTTGTGTGCCCGCTCTATTGTTCTTGCTGTTGATGGTTTAAGTATGGGGATTTGGATAAACAATGCTTCTGCTGCAGACTAAACCCTCCCCTGTTGGGAGGCGGCACTTCACAAAACCAGTTTGCAAAGAACCTTGTGCCAAGATGCAGCCCGGGTCCTCGGTGCAAGTCCAGTGATTAAATAGCAGCTCTGACTTGGGACTCCTACCATCGGCAGAGCTTGTCTCAGGAAAAACTGCAAGCAATACAAGTACCAGTTCTGGTTAAGACAGTAGTGAAGATAATGAGGAAAGCCTGAGGACAGAAGAAATGAGGCACCAAATAAAAATAGCTACACAGATTTTGTTTTCTGGGACATCAGAGCAGTCCCCTGAGGACTCTTGCTTCCCTCGTTTCTTCAGGACCGTCCATGAGCTTGACAGCCGTTTGCCCATTACTTTTTATGGCATTTTGATTGCAGCGTTGGCTTGGGGTGACGTGATCTCTGTGTGTATATGCACATAGTAGTGGGACAGAGAGCTGGCAGCCTTGTTAGTTGAGGCAGAAGTAGTGAATAGTTAACATCCATCCAAAATGGACAACAAGCATATTCCACAGCTAAACTGAACATTTAAAGTAGTGGGCACTGACTTGCTTTCTCCTTTTCTTCCTCACCCAGGATTTTCAGATGTTGACCACACATATGCGCAGAGAACTCAGCTGTTTGATACACTAGTCAACTTCTTTCCGGACAACATGACCCCTCCTAAAGGCAACTTGGTAGACCTCATCACGCTGTAACGAAGCAATCACTGGACATGTGACAAGAGGGGAAAAGCATCCATTTTCAGTATTTTAATTTTTTTACTGCATTGATTGACTGCTGGGATGAAGTAATATAGTAACCCCTAGATGTTTGGAAGGGGTTTTATACTTGTATGGTGAATCCCTGAAGCTTTTCCCTTGGAGTAGGTTAATAAAATGTAACTGACGTACTGCTGACTAAATATATATATTTTTTCTGACTTTGGATTTTGAGTTAGCAAATGGAAGATGAAAAGGTGGGGGGAAAGAAAAACAATAATAAAACCCAAACATGCAGTGATTGTTTTTTGCCTGTAGGGGAAAATTGAGATTTGTGGGTTGTCTGGAATTAAAAACGATGGGGTTTATTTTGGGTTTCATGAGAAAGCGGGGGGGAGGTTGTTCTTGGCTCATTTGTAGCTAGTCATGATACATTGCTTTATCCTACAACTCCATCCTCAGCAGCTGAATAACTTGGCGGCAGGACACTGGCACGCGTTGAGGTAATAGTAATGTATGTGTCTTGAGTCTTGTAATCGCAGTGTGTCATGTGAAGGGGAGCACGTGTTACAAATTACCTGTCCCCTCGTCCCAGAACCGGCCTGACAGTGGTGTCTAATTGCACCTGATATCTGATCTAAACCTAAATACCTAAATGGCTATCTTCCGTTCTCTGGAGCCTTCCACTTAGACCTGACAGGCAAGTGGGAACCTCAGAGAAACCACTGGGAAATGCAGTTGTTATCTGCACGGGCCCCTTTTCAGGGATCGTTCTGATTTTTACTGCCGTGCTCTTCCCATGAGAAACCGTGCAGGTCCTTGCAGAGCCCGGCAGAACTGGGTCTTCCACCACATGCGCACCCAACCACTGCAACCTGACTCCAGGTTGGGTGTAGGATTTCCGAAGCAGATTGTCTTCGTTTACATGCACCTATATGCTTCTGTGTGCGTTTGTCAATGTGTAAATGTAAAGAGGACTGCTCCCAACAGCTTGTCTCCTTCCTACGTAGTGCATCTCATTCACTTTTAAATGCATTTTAGACCTAGATCTGAATGTAAGGGAGGCCTTTTTAGCATAAATCTCTTTGAAAGCAAGCTGATGCATATGTATAGAAAATATATTCTTCCTTGCTGAAAGCCTTCTTTATAAATAAGGTAAGGCCTTGGTGCTGCACTATGAAGTGGAATGAAGGATACGCGTACCCAACATTAGCAACTTTTTGCATTCGCTGTCAGCGAGCATTTAGTACAAACTGGCAGATGTAAATATATATATGAGACTGCAAAGCTTTATGTCCAGCAATGTTCATGCCAGTAGGGTGTCATTGCTGCACCCACTGTGGCTACACGACTCCTGTTGAACTTGATGGAAGTCTTGTGTGTGCAAAGATGATTTGGACTCTTGAAATAAAGAGTTAGTGAAGTGTCTTTTTCAGAGCTCAAGTGTCTGCTTGCTTTAATTGCATTGTACTGCCTCTTTATCATGTTCTTTGTGTGACTTTTGTAGTCCTGGTACGTCAGAAATAAATTTAAGTACTCATACTTAGTGTTTAATCACTTAGAAAGGAACAATATGTTAGAGGCTGGGCTTTGCTTTGTCTTCAGGGAGGACTATAAAAATACAGTGTTTTTAAGTAACCTGTAACTTGAGACTGTTTAGACATTGTATACTTCTGTGGATGGCAAATTAGACGTCCGTGGAAGAATCCATTCAGTACATAGTGCAGTAAATGAAAACTCATTAAACTGTTTCTTTGAAACATTGCTCCCCCCCCCCAAGTGACACAGAAAATTTTACATCACTGCTAGGCTTTATGATGTGCTATCTTTGCTGACTGTTATTTTACTAGTTAAAATGGAGCTTACATGGTACGAACGTAGATACTGGTGGTGCTATACAGGGGCAATGTGCCAGTTGAGGCGTTGTTTCCATTGAGATTGAATTGAGCACTTCTAATGCAACCAGCCAAAATGCTGCAGCCCTCTAGTACTCAAAATTTTAGTGCTGTTGTGCTCCCTTATCACTTGATCTCATTGCCTGTGTACTCTCCAACTTCAATCACATGTTTAATTGTTTTTTGTGACCGTTTTCTAATCAACCAAGCTTTTTGTAAACTTTTATGTGTACTCCTTTGACTACATGTGAGGCTGAACCCAAAAGATACAACTAGACTGAGGAGCCCCAGCAAGCAGACAGTGGAAGCTTAGGAATGCCAAAAGCTTTGTGAGTGGCGTTGGTGCTGAGCGGTGCATCGTGTCAGGCTTGATTTGTGTTATAGAAATTCGATCAAAACTCATTGTCCTCTGCGTCGGGAGTGCATGCAAAGCCTGACAGTCCGGCTCAGGTTTTTTTATAGCATAGCGTAAATGAATCATTTTTCTGAGCGAGGTGAACATTGCTTCTGCAGGACTGACAATCCCAGCTAATGAGAGCACTTCAGGATGATCAAATATTGACCTAACTTTATCCCGAGCAGATCGATTTCAGCTGGCATGGCTTCAGTTTATGGATTACAGCTGGTGATTAACCAGCAGAAACTATTTGCTCAGCTTGGGAGTATTTGTGGAACAGCAGAGGCACCCTGTGGCCAGAGAGGTTAATCCAAAGTGAAGGTTTTTTGTGGCTTTGCCAAGGGTCTTTCCTGGTTCTGTGTCCTTAATGTTAAGAGTTTAAATGATTTCTTTGCATCGGTGTATGCTACACTACCTGATTTAAAAACCAATTAAAAATTTGAGCAGTGAAGTATAAGTTTCCTTTCAAAATAAGCCAGTTATTGACAAGCAGTTACAGGGAGTTTGAATTTAATTACATGCAGCTCTTTAAAGATAACTGGTGATATTCCAGGAAAGCATTAGATGTGAGCATTGCAGATACACTGAAATACAAACAGAAAAGAGACCCACTTGATCTGAAAACAGCCACCTGAAAATGTTTCACAGAACAGTGCATGCAATGTTACAAATACACAAGCTGTAGGTGAGAATTCTTCGAACCTCAGCCTTACTGCTTGCAGGCTGGAGCAGACACTGCTTTTTTAGCTTAGACAAGACAAACATACTACACTTGCCTTTACCTTACGTTACAAGGTGATGTGTGTTTGGATTTAACATGGCATCATCTTTGCACTACAGTAGTTTATCTCTAAATTATGTGTTAACTTGTAAATAAGGCATTGCAAAAGAAAGCATCATTAGTTGTCGGGGGCGGGGATTCATGTATGATACTGGGGTCTTCAAAGCCCAAGTTACAAGGTTCTGGTACGTTTTTTTAAAGCCGTAGGAAGTCAGGGTGGAATAAACTTTATTGATACAGACATCAAGACTTCAGTCGTGATTTAGGTTTGTTTTTTTTTTTTTTTTAAATCCTCTTGAAATCCATGAGTTTGGTTCTTCACTGACACTGGCCTTTGGCGTAGTTGCCCTTACAATATTACTCAGTAGATCATCTCTTTATAAAACATGAAACTATTCTGTGTGTGGAATTGTTCTTATCAAGTGACATGTTTTTCTAGAGAAATAAAACTCTTCGGGTTTGATTTTTCATCACTTGGATTAGGCAGAATTAAGTGAGTTTCTTAATGTTTTTCTTGAACGACCCCTCATAGTAGTCGTGAGGCAGAAGTCCTGATGAGTTCTTCCAAAGGGACTTCTCCACGCAAGTACTGCTGTTGCAGTGTGACCTAATGCATTTTCGTGTGGCAAGTGGCAGAAGGACCTACTTAGATAATGTTGTTAAAAATGAGGCGATGACAGCCACCTCCTTGCCCCCTTTTTCTGAGGGTCTCACTGGGGAGACCCGAAGGGTGATGTAAAGTGGTTATTGAAATTAGTTGTAGCTTTTCTCTTCTGGCTCTTTGAAAGGTAACATTTGTGATGTATTTATTCTTAAACATCTCTTCCTTTTGCTGAGTGTAACAAAGAGGGGGAATTTTGTCTTGGAAAAGTTAGGTTTGCCCTTTTTCTGGACAGTATCCTAAATATGTCATTTAGGTAGTGAAATCCAGTCAAGTAAATAAATGTCTGGGGTTTGGTTCTGTTTGCCCGGGATGGCTCTGTGTGCACACCTTGTGTGCATTCACTCAGGGGACAAGCTGGAGGTTCCTACCAGTAGATTGATTGGCAAAATAGTGCTCTAGTTTTGTGGAAAATCAATCTGTAAAGACCCAATTGGAAAGATTTGTCTAAGTTATTTGCCTTGTGAAGTGGCAACTAAGAGTTGAAATTTAGGAAACTTTCCCAAAGAACATACTAAAACATAACCATATGAAAGTTGTACTGGAGTAAGGATGCAGTGACAGGCTTAAACTAATTTGGTCACTGATTACTATAACCTAGCTTGAAAATTTTATGGCTAAAGAGTCAGTGAGCAAATGAATGGGACTCCCTATTTGCAGGGGGGCAGGCTCTTTGCAGAGGTGTGGGGCTAGCGGCAAGGGATCGTGACAGCTTAATCTGTGGTCTTCAACCTGCAGCCGCAAGTGTCAGGGTCTCCATTAGCTCGCTCTTCTTCCAGAAGAGGCTCCTTCCAAAGCAGAGTAATGACGCTGGAAGAGTGTTTTCCGTAGGGCTTTGTGGAACAGCTGTTTTCCAAATCACTTTCCTGATGCGTACAAATTTATAGAAAGGAGTGTTTGTCACAAAGTTGTAGACCGTTCTTGCCCTGCTGTGCAAACCTGCGCTTGTGAGTGCTGCAGGCAACGAGTGATAAATTCAGAGCAGTGTTCTGAAAAACACTTGAAACTTGTTTGCTGTTCTGATTGTAAGAAAAATCAGCATTAATGCTGCTTGTTTCAAATGCAGGAGGGTGGCGGGTACCTGCTACACTAATACTATTAATTCTCTTGCTGCCTCCTGTATTTCAGAATTGAGAAGGAAATGCTTTTATAGAGCTTATCAAATGAAACTTTTAGTATGAATTAGTGCTGCGCAACCTTAAACATGAATGCTCCTACATCTCTGTACGTGCAGTAATTCTGTTAATGTAATACTGTGCTGCTTCTGGGGAAAATGACAAAAAAAATTAGATACATTTCCATTTGGTACCTTTGTTTTTAGAAGTGGAAAAATGTCTTGTGAAATCTTGCGTCCCCATGTATGCTTTGAATTTTAGCTTATTAGTTGTGGTTGGCTCTGAGTTGAGGAATGTTTGGCTATTGTCAAGTGAAGTCCTGACAGTAAAAGCAATTCATGTATGTCTCTGGAAGTGCTTGTGTTGTTTTATAGCTGTAGTTATTACAGAAACAGAGGTGGGCCCAGTTAAAAAAAAATAAAAAAATATTGCTCTTCTGATTAGGGG